AACTAAACGAATACCACCGTCCTCGCAGGATAGAAATCTGGCACTAGGAGTATCTAAGGTGGGCGAACAACTTAACTGTTACCCACCTAACCTGGCAGCACTAGTGTTGATATTTATGTACAGTACGAGTAGAACCGGAACGTTTCATTATAGATTATTTTTCTGTTATATGAAAAAGTGGAGTAAGTAAGATTCTGCGTTCCTCCATACGAGATAGAATCAACGAAAAAAATCTTTGCGGACTAAAACCGAGCATTCGAGGTCATACCGTTTCTACGTAACCTCAAATAACGGCTTTTTTGCGGGAGTACCTTTGTAAACGTAGGCAGTGGTGTTATGGAAGTGCTAAAGGAATTGTACTTTGAGAAATGACAGAAAGAGGAGACAGCTGTAGTACATCATCTGCATGATCCTTCGAAAGTGTGCGGGTGGCTTTGCGCATTTTGAGATTGAAACCGATTAGGCTTTAAAATACTAAATTTGGCAGTTGCGCAATGTGCTCAACTTACAACTGTTATGATGCGTCGTCTTTCGCGCGGGAAATAGTCTGGACTTATGCGTAGACGTTTGCCTGGCTTTCCGTAGAACTCTCCGCATGAACCCCCAGAACATGCTGCGTTGCACTAAAAAAGCGCCAGATTTGTTCACGGTATGTGTCAGTCTGGCTGCGCGAACCCATAAATACTACCTTAGGTGTATGTAGAGGTCCAAGCCGTGGATGTGCTCAGAACGCTACAATTACCACGCCCAGTTCCGTATAGGGAAAGAGGGGGTAAGATTAGTAGACAGTTACTCAGTGGTTGTCTGAAGCCCCGAAGTGTGGCAGGCCCCGTGTGCGCACGTCTTTCTGCTAGCGTGCTGTGAGCGGGAATGCCTACACGTTATGCGTGATGAGTCACTGGCCGCTTGATCAACTGCTCGGCAATAGCAGTCTATGGCACTTGTGATTGGCTGTCTCAGAGGCAGATAGAGGAGTACTATCACGTGACGGTTTGTGAACTTGGCCCCGGTGATGGACGGTGCTACAGTTGTGTGACAAGCTCAGGCAGTTGACTGGTGCATGGGAAGCGGGTGAGGTCATGACAGCTCGGCGCGTTCCTCACTGGCAAAAACCTAACGCACTTGAGTCTCTCATGACACGAAAAGTCGTGGCTTGAAAGGTTACCGG